AGAATCTACGCCTAGTTGCAGGCATTCTGACTGGTCGTTGCCAAGTACGGAAACATCTCCATATCATGGGGCTGTCAGAATCCGCACCTTGCAGAGGGTGCGAACTAGAAGATGAGACCATCGAGCATATCATTTACGATTTCTTGACGTTCTCATTTATTAGAATATTTGTGTTCGGAGAGCATCAGCTAACACCGGCCGATATAAGAGAAGCACCTCTTGGCGAAGTTGTAAACTACATTAAATCTGTAGGCTGGCTCACGAACTAGGAGGTGCCTATCATCTTAGGAGGATGTACAATGAGCCTAGTGAGGCCTAAGTGCCGTGGGGGTAACCCACTCTCCACACGTTACAGATACATACCTATTTTTTTTAGGGAATTAGGGCATTGCTCTGTCATAAATCCTCTCATTGTGACAGAAAATGCATGATAAGCTAGAAGCAAATTATTCCTTTACCAGCAAAAAACGAAAAGTTCCATGCATAAGAAACATTATTTTGAATTTGGCAGGTTACACGATAGCTCCCACCACCCCCGCCCCTGTACCCAACTACAAATAGCAATACAAGTAGCACGTTGCATGCCACTAATTCCCAGACTTGGTGTAACGAGTGTAACTTTCCAATGTCTCCATTGCTAAATATTAATAAAAATACTAACAATATTGTAAGTACTCAAGTTAGATATGAGGTAAATTGTGGTAGAATCATACCATGAAAACCTCTATTTCTAATAATATAACCTAGGGATGTATGATGACGCTTATTCTCTATTTTATTCAATATTCTTATTTCTCTTCCGACTGCCATCTTCCAATTTGTGGAATCTAAAGGTTTCAAATCCTCTAACACTTTGCTCATTCATATTTTTTTATGTCTACGCTTTCTTCTCTTATAAATTATTTGGTTCCTGTATAATACCATATTTGATATTTTTTTTTCTATTCACACTAGATGTTTCAATTATCTTATAGTAACGCAACAGTCTTTGCAGGTTTAAAGCCTAGGGCTGTAACATTTAAGTCACCATTATTCTTCTCTCTCACTTTTGGAAAATGTATTTGACAATAATTTTTAAGGGTTGTCAAATTTTATTGCTACGATGCAAACTCTAAATCACACCATTACATTTTGGCGTATATTCTTCATCCTTACTTACCACCACTATTAGGTATTGGGTTCGTTCTTGCGTTTGTCCCATTACCATGTAAACTCCTGGACAAAATTAACGCACCACTTATATTTTGCTCGATAATTTTTATTTATTAATAACTTACTGTACAACAAGTAGGCCATTGACCTTGTTTGACAGTGACAGTTGTTTTTTACGTAATACCTTGTTTTGACAGTAATTCGTATTAAACCTCGTCTTAGACTAAAACTGTGTTAACATTTTCTTAAAAAGTGCTGATTAAAGCAAAGTTTCTGTTAGAAGCAAGCTGTTGATTGTAATTGTTTTTATTACATGCATGTTTGGAAGTTCATTTGGGAGAATATCAAGTAAAAAAAATGAACCGTTAAAGAAATATGTCACTGGAGGAGGCAGTGCGAGCATCGACTCTCCTGAATGAAGGATATTCAATGCGATATGTTGCTGGTTTGTTAGGAAGACATCATGCCAGCATCAGTCGCATAGTGAGACGACATAATAAAACGGGTTCGTACCATCGAAGACCAGGACAAGGGCGAAAACGTTGCACTAATCAAATTAATGATCATTTTTTGAGACAACGTGCTCTTAGAGACAGGAGAGTAACCAGCAATCTGCTTAAAAATGAATTAGCAGATGTTCGAAATATCGCTATATCGTCTCGAGCGGTTAGAAGACGTTTACATGAAGCAGGATTAAGGAACAGAGGACCAGCCAAAAAACCCTTGTTACCAGAGAACACAAAGTTTAGAGATTACATTTTTCAAGACTATATCAGAATTGGACCATCAATGATTGAAAACAGGTTCTGTTCTCCGATGAAACTAGAGTTAGCCTTAAAGTTCCAGATCGACGTGAGCGTGTCTGGCGAAGACAAGGAGAAAGGTTTGCCAGCTGTAATATCTCTTCTAAATTGCCTTTTGGTGGTGGCTCTAAAATGTTTTGGGGAGGAATTTGCTTCGATGCTCGTACGGAGTTGGTACTTATACGTACGAAGTCTATGAATACTTAGACAACATTATTGTCGAACATGTAATGCCTTCTGCTCCGTTTGTTGGGCCCAATTTTTTATTCATGCAGGACAACGCTCGTCCCCACGTGGCTAGAGAAAATAGTTACTTACATAATGTTAATATTCCTTTATTAGAGTGGTCATCTAACAATCCGGATATGAATCCTATAGAATATCTATGGGACTATCTCAAAAAGAGGATTCGAAGTCATAGACCCCCTGTTTCTAATCACAACCAACTCATAGAGGTCGCTATTGAAGAATGGGAGAATATACCGCAAGCTTTTGTTGAACATTTGATATCAAGCATGCCGCGACGCATGGATGCAGTGATAAGAAGTAGAGGAGGGCCTACGCAGTATTAGGGTTGACCAAGATGCATTTATTCTCTTTTAATGATTTTTTTTCTTTTTTCAATTTGGAGTTATGCTAGCTTATTTATGCATTTTCAGCATAAACAAATTTTTATGGAAAAAAATAAGGCAAATTAAGGTCACATTCGACTAATTTTTAGGTGTTCATCATTATTTCAATGTAACTTAGTTTTATGTTGTCACAAAATGAAGTTTTACTGGTTTACTTTCTTTACACAAAAATTTACAGGAAAAGCTCATCCTCAATAGAAATGATATTGTTTCATTTAGGATCCAATTTAAGGAACTTTGAATTATATTATACTTTTCTTTTTTCATGGGTGACTAAATTAGAGAAACATTTATTTTGATACATTTTTAATTTTTTTATTTCAAATTTAGAAACACCTTAACAGAGCAGCTATAATGAACAGACAATAGAAAATAGAATTTGACAAGACCAGGAAACAAGGTACTAGCATACCAATTGAAAATTAGAATAAAAGGAAGACGATATAGAGGAGACTAGTAATCTATCAAAGAGGAAAAAAGAAAAATATCCAAAGAAACATGGGGCAATCAGGAAAAGTTATCCGTAAGATAAAATATGCAAATGTATAAATGACCGACTATATTTCAACATCTGCTCATCGGCTGGTTCCTATTTCCATTTATTCACTTGTTATTCATGCTTTATTTTATTTTATTTTAATATCCATATTAAAAACAAATAAAATGTTATTGCTTGCGTGTCTGCACAGCAATAAACATCTTTTTCTAAGAAATTACTACAAGCAATTAAGTTGTAAACGTCCTAAAATAAAAAAAAAAAAAATTAAACCTAGCGACGTATTATTAAAATATACACAAAGTAAATAAAAAAAGATGTTAATTTATGGTTAAATAATAAAAATGGGGTGATGCATAAAATATGAAATGAAACACAAAATTTTATCGGGTCGATCTACCATCAGATATGAATGGCAGCATGAAAGGTGCTGGCTGCTAGCCGTATATAAAATAAATGTAAGAAATAATTTATGTAATTAAATTTGTACAATGTATATAAAATTCTTACATGCAAAAAAAATCAACACGAAATCATTTATAGCCTGGTTTCTTATACATAAATCAGGTTGGAATAAAAACTATAATATACGTAGGTACTTTTTAAAAAGCTCTCTTTTTAATTCTCTGGTGATTATAGAAAAATTGCTTCAGCTTGTTTGGTGTTAAGACTAGGAGCCAGCGACCACTAGACCTACGTTATAGCATGAAGGTTAAGAAGTTAATTCAAACTGGCTATTACTGAATAAAATCAAGAAAAGAAAATCTAACATTCAAAAAGCAAAAGAACTTTCATTTACTGAAGAAGTTGAGAAGCTATTTGATGCTGCACATGCAGTTGCAATGAACCTCAATAAAATTGAAGAATACAAAGATTTTTTGATTGATCAGAGGATTAACAGTAACATGATTATAATATCTGAAGATAAAGAGTTTAGTAAAAGGCAAAAAAGGATGCAGGAAAGAAAAGAAAAGTTGGAAAATGTGGTATTGATTTAAAAGAAACATTAAGTTCTAATGCAAGCCCTATACGTCAGTCAGATATGAGAATAACAAAACAAAATTTACGCCAGAGTGTAAGAAAGATCTTTTTACTGAACCTGTGACAAGTGCTTCGAACATAAACAAGATATCAGACCGTGAAGCTGTGAGACTCTTTATTCCGATTGTCGCTGCATTTGGGCATAAACCAGCTAGCATGTCCTTTTCTAGAAGTTCAATAAAAAAAAAACGAAAAGAAGCACACATCTTGTAGCTGAAAAACTGAAGAATAATTGGGAAATAAAAAACCAATTATTGTTCACTGGGATTGAAAGATCTTACCAGACATTTAAGGTTCAGAAAATGTAGATAGATTACCAGTTTTACTTTCATTTTCCAATGGAGGAGTGAAACTTCTTGGATTGTCAAAACTTGTATCCGGCGCTGGAGCAAGTGCTGGCAAAGGCATTTCATGATATTCTGAAATCATGAGATCTTAAAGACAAAATTACTGAGATGGTTTTTGATACGATTGAAGTTAATACTGGAGCTAAAAATGGAGCATGTATTTTGATTGAATATAAAGTGAAGAAATAGATAATGTGGTTTGCATGTAGTAGAAATAATTCCTAGCAAAGAATTTACTGACACGACATCCCTTTATTCAAAAGAATTAAAAAAAATAAGGGCTGCAATTGTCTAAACGACTATTCATCGCTAAAAAAGAGGATTTGAAAAACTTTTCAGTCAAGGTATAGCTTGCATTTTTACATAAAACCACCCCAGAGATGACTATTTGGAGTTAATTGAGCTGACATTGTTGATTTTAGGATATCCACTGAAGACTGTTCACTGGAGAGCAACAGGGTCAATTCACTATGCTCGCTGGGCGGCCAAACTTATTTGTCCATTTAAACTGTACATTTTCCAAAATCAGGGTATTTTTAATCTTATTCAAAGAGAGAAGCACAATTTGGAAAGGTTTGTCCAGTTTGGGGCGTTGTTGTATGTTAAAAATTGGGTTAAAGCTACAATCAGTGCAAATGCTGCTATAACTGAACTGATCTTTTGGAAAGCAGCTGGAAAATACGGTGTTATTGACACTGAACTATTACTACACAAATACTACAAGTATTACTATAACAAAAGCCTTGAAACATCACTTACAGTATTTTCCAACAAAGTTATTAAGATGAAAGAAACTTGGAATGGTAAGAGAAAACCCAGATGTACTGTGAGGGATCTTGTGGTTCCTGGTTTCATCCTGAGTGCTATTTTATGGATATTAATGATTTTAAAGTAATTCATAAGTTAAAAAAAATGCTCATTTTATTTGTAATTTCTGCAAAACAAAAATTGAAATTGTCGACAAAAAAGAGAATGAAAACCTGAAAAGGAAAATCGCTAATATCGATTCGAACTTTTCTAAACTTATTACCGAACAAGTTACCAAAGCTATCTTTTACCAATTCCGAGATGAGATAACTCAAAAATTAGAATCCTGTTTTAAAGCTATTCAAGGAAAGATTAAAGACGCAATTTCTACAAGTTCTTCAAATATAGCTGAACCTTCTTATGCCAATGCTGCTTCTCAATCCAAGTTTATTCTGCAGCCAAAAAACAATATTACTCAAATCAGTTTCCACGACTAAATTTTACGTAATGTCAATCCGATGAATTCTAATATTGAGGTCTCGAACGTAACAGCAACACGTAATGGTGCATTAGTAATAAGTTGTAATAAAGAAGAAGACTTCTAAATTTAGAGAAATCATTAATAATAATCTCGGTGATAAATATAATGTCAAAACAATATCTTCTCTTCATCCAAGAATTAAAGTGACTACTTAAAGACTCAAAATAAATCATGTTTCAGTGATAATTCTACTTGTGAAATTGTTAATAAGAATAATGCTAAATTATTTCAAGCTGTCTTGCAGGTTGATTCTAATACATATCAAAGGGCTATGAAATTAGGCAAACTGACTGTTGGATTTGATTTTGACTGTCTGGTATACTGTGATATTGAACCGCGTAGATGTTTTAATTGTTGGGGACTACATCACTTAGCAACTCAATGCAATAAAAATGAGCCTACCTGTCCAAAGTGCTCTCTAAACCATTCATCAAAGGACTGTCGTTCTAAAAATATCCAATGTTGCAATTTCTTTAACCTTAAAACTAATCATAACTGGTTAATTTTCCTATTTTATCTATAAATCATGTATCTGATAAACAAGTGGTAGACGCTTTAAAAAGATTAAAGCCAAAAATGACAATGGGACCTGATTATATTCCTTCCTTCCTCATTAAAGATTGCGCACACATTATTTCAACACCACTATTTTTAATTTAATATCGAAAACAGCCATGTTTCCTGATCTATGGAAATTATCTCGCGTTACACCAGTTTATAAAAAGGGACCCAAAGATGATCTTGACAACTATAGACCTGTTAGCATACTTTGTAATTTCTCCAAAGTATTTGGATTATTCATACATACTTATCTAGACATCTTTCGGGTTCATTATCGCAATACCAACAAGGATTTATGAAGGGTAGGTCCACTGTGTCGAATCTTGTGTGCAAAACACAATTTTTGGCAGAGGCTTTAGATAAAAGAAGTCAGGTCGATGTTATCTATACCGACTTTTCTAAGGCATTCGATAGAATTGATCATCAAATCCTATCACAAAAATTAAAGTCTAAGGGACTATCTGATTTTCTTCTTTTACTTATCGATTCTTACTTAGAAAATAGACGTCAGTACGTGTAACACCAAGGATTTAGATCAAACCATTTTAAGCAAATTTCAGGTGTACCGCAGGATTCGGTCCTTGGGTCCCTTCTTTTCATAGGTTTATTGATGACATTATTGGCAAAAGCACAGAAGTAAAATACTTAAAGTATGCTGATGATTTAAACATTTTTGCTGAAATACGGAACTTTGTTGATTGCACCAGCTTTACAAAGTTATTTAGCTGAATTATTGCTATGGTGTATTAAAAATTATTTGCATTTGAATCCTGGTAAATGTAGTGTTATGACATATACTACGAAAAAATCATATTTCACCTTTGATTATCAGATCAATCGCACTGTGTTAAGTAGGCCGGAGTTTATAAAGGATCTGGGAGTCCATTTTGACAGGGAATTAACTTTCGCAAGGCATATTGAGCAGAGAGTTATATGTGCTTCACGGAGTCTTGGTTTTGTAATTCGAAATTCCAAACAATTTAAAAATATACATACAATGAAGTTATTATATATTAGTTTTGTTAGATCTAGACTTGAGTATGCGTCAGTTGTATGGAATCCATCATATTTATAGTAGTGCTATTTAAAATGTGCAAAGAAAATTTATGAAGTCCGCATCATATCTTCTAGATAATATCTATTCTGCTAGAGAATGGTTTAATGGAACTGCGCATACGCCGTAAAATGCAGCTAGTTTCATTCCTATGGGATATTTTACATGAAGGGCTAAACTGCATTGAGTTTCAGGATTATATTAACATTAAAATACCCCGCCATGGCCTTAGAATATACTTAAGCTTTTACTTGCCAGCTGCAAATACAAATATTTTGAACGGTTCTCCAATTTTTCAAATGATCAATAATTATCATCACCTTCAAGATAGTTTGGATATTTTTAGTTGTAAGAAAATAGATATTTTTAGAGCTATTACCATAGAAACTGAGTAGGTGTTTATCCTGCTTGGTAAGTTGATAATATATCCTTTGTGTGTATTTATTTTATTTTAATTTATTTTTTAATTTTTTTAAATTTGTTTTATGCTTCTTTAAGAACTTAAATATACCTGAATATTTTACCTTCAGTTTTTCTTAAAAATAGGCTTTATTGTACTTATTTGTTTCATGTTCAGTCATATATGATGTTCTTAACTCGTTTGTGATGTATATCATTAGTATATTGTATTTGTTTTTAATTTATGTTCATCCCAATCTGTAATTGGTTTTTTAACTGTTGAGTGGTATATTAAATAAATAAATAAATAAATAAATAAATAAATAAATTAAATAAAAATAAATAAATAAATGAAGAATGTGAAATGTCAAATTTTATTTATTTTATAAGCTGAAAATAACGAATTGCTCACAAAAACCACCAAGTGACTGAAAAAAAGATCCACATGCACAATCTGGTAAAATAACTGTAAAGCACGTTTTCAGAGATTTTAACACTAGATGAGCACTGCCTTCTAAATTAGGTATGACTATGAAATTTTGGGAAATTATTTACTTTATTATAAAGAACTAAATTAGGGTTGCCCTGGTTCCTGACTTCAATTTGAATTGTTACCATTATAATATGAACCAATTTAATCAACATTTTCGTTCTAAAAACTATTTTAACGGGGCGAATGCTACAGTTTCATCGTTTGTTTAATATCTGTACATGTGCCTCTTAAAAAGATAGTTATTTGTATTTATAAGTTATATCCTTTGTAGAGTTCTGTCACTTTTTTATTTGCCTTGTATTAACTTAGAAACTGAATGTCAAAGTACAAAGATGATTAGCTGGTATTGAATTTGCTGTGCTCTTGCTATCAATTTAAATTGCTCCACTCTCTCCGACATCAACCACACACGCATCGTAGCGTAATCTTGCAGGTTTTATTTTTTCTGAAGTGGATACGTCGAAGAGTCCTTTTCCTGCGAGCTCTGTACAAGGCCTGGTCTCAAAGAATCCTGCGCGCTTACATCAACCATGTATATATAAAACATATATCTATCTGCGTCCGCATCAAACTTTCATGAATTTGGGTTACATACATTGTTACTGCATTATTTAAAAGGGTGAAACGCCCCAGCTTTAGTTCCACTGTGTTGTTATGTACGCATCGGAGTGGTAGTTGTATAATTTGGAATTTAGTTTGGTGTTTAAATTACAAGGATTAGATATTGTATGAAGTAATAAGCTGGTATCTTGGAACTGTTAGAAATTTAAAATGTATGTTGATTGTTGATATTATAAAAAATGGCCTATACCATGAACGCTTATTGTAGACAGTTTCTAGTTTTGCAGTATGTACAGCATGTGACAAAATGGAAAAGCCAATCATGAGAAAATTTTATCTTGTTGGTAGTGAAAAAAGTAAGAATACTGTAACATTGTTATCTTAAAGTGAAGGAAAAAAATATAGCTGACAACGCCGCAGGTAACGTTACTGCCTTCTTATCGTAAACATACTTTAAACTGTTTGTAGTCATTTATACACACTACATAATTTTATTTCATTACAAGCGTCATTTTATGGGTAAACTTCATAACCTTAAGTTTTATGGCAGTTTTAATGGAAAGCAAAGATTAAGCTCACCTCGTCCTGTATTATTTATATTGATACATATTATCATTCTTATTTTTATTTTTACTCGACTCTACAAATGATTCCTTTTTATTGATAATTTATAAGATAATTTAAAAGAAGTTCATATTAGCCAAATATTCTAAGAATTCTACACTGTACTACACGCTTAACAGTTTTCTAATGTTGGCTGTTACCGACGTTAAAATATTTTTTACCCTTTATCTCTTTGACTTTAAACAATCTTATGGGCAGAACCAAAATTTGAAGTCATCTAGTCTAGTTCAAGAATAAAAAAAATTGTTTTAAACTAAATGGATATTAGATGGAAACAAATTAACAGAAAAGGACATAAATCGTTTGTAATTTAAAAATTTTTCTACAAAGCTATTGGAACTGATTATTCATAAACAAAATTAAAATGTATAAGACGTATTATTTTAATTATTAAAACAACAATTAAAAATAGCAAAACGGGCGAAACAAATGATCGTTTAATCACTTTATATTTTTATTAATATAAAATTGGACCGATAGTAGAGGGTAATAAATTGATTCGAACGACCGACTGCTCCATGACAACCTAATATTAACTTAATGGATATTATTTATTCAATTATTCGATGTTCATTTATTTAAATGCCCATTTTGACATTGCGAACAGCAGCATCCGATAAAATTTTATATTATCTCGACCGCCTACGTCAAAATGTTTCATCGGCGGAAATCAAGGTTTGCGTATATAGTTTACAAATAGATCGATTTGTCATTTTGTTTATTGGTTAATTGTTCACTGTTTACACTTGTTTTCGGAATGATTCCCGCTTACTCGATTTAGCCGTTGTTAAATATGCCGAGGTTCGTTATCACTTGATTAATTAATTTATGCATGTTGACATTTTAGTTTCTCATCGATGTTATTTATACCTTTCTTCATTTTTTCTCCCTTTTGCCTTGGATTAGATTAAATTTGAGAGGAGTTGGAAATTATTTGTCGTTGCCCACATTAACCTTTTCAGATCTATTGTGGAACTCCGGTATTTTTATTAGACTTTTTGGTTTTGACAGTAACTCTGGCTCTTCTTCACCTACAGGCAGATGACGTGGTTTTATGTTTTTTCTTATTCTTTACAGATTCTTGCTTCTTTTACTGGATTAATAATTACACTAATGTGCCTTCTAAGGCGTCATTATCTAGTAAGAAGACCAATTTTTTTCCTAATGATTTGTCGTTTTTGACCCAGTAGGTATGGTTTTTTAGTACACTCTTTGGCGTGCATCAATTCTGGATAGTTGCTACACCATTCCTGAGACTCCCTTT